ATAAGTTATGTGATGTGTGGGGACAGAGAAGGAGGGGAGGCTCCTCTTTCCCGGAGTTGGAGATGGGGGTTCCCTGTTGGCACCATTGAAAGGGGCAGCCTGGGATGACCTTCGCCACCAGCTTCCTGTCCTAGGATGCCAAAGCATCCGTGTCTTTCGCAGACACGAGACTCAGACCAAGACCTCCCTGGAAAGGGAGCATGGTGACACAGTACGAAGCGCTGACACAGCATTCCCTAAGATGAAGAAGGGTAGAGCGCCCAGCCGGGGTGTCCCAGTGGTTGAGTGTCGACCCGTGAACCAGGAGGTCATCGGTTCGATTCCCGACCCCCAGTAGGAGGCATGCAGGAGGCAGCCAATCAATGACTCTCATCACTGATGTTTTTTTTTCTCTCTCTCTCTGTCTCTCTCTTCCTCTCTCTGAAATAAATAAAAACATATTAAAAAAAAGAAGGGTAGAGCAAAAAGAAGATGGAATCACAGAGATGTTCATGGCCATGAACTCCGATTCCTGAGCTAAGGTTTGATTTCTCTCCTATCTCTGCCAGCTTTTTATCTGGCATTTGCTCACACACCTTCATCAATAGGGGCTCACTACTGCTTAGGGCAGCTAATTCCATTCTTGGGCAGCTTGGACTCTTAGAAATGTGCTTCAGATTAAGCAGGAATCTGCCTCCCAGCGTTGCTCTTGGTCCAGCCTTTCAGTCCACTTTCCCAAAGACAGTGTTTCTCTGAGAGTTGCCTCTTGCATGAGGATCATCTGGGGGAACTTCTTAAAATGCAGAATCCTGGGCCCAACCCCAACCTGGTGATTCAAATGTCTAAGGCAGGGGCCTAGGAATCTGCATTGACAGGGATACCTGAACTGTGAGATAAGAATGTGGGCCCCTGAAATGAATTGGAAGCCTACCCACAAGCAAAGAATATCCAAAGGAAAAGCCAGGAACCCAGAGGACAAACCTCTCCAACTTGTAAAACTCTGCCAAGGGTGGGGCTGATTGTGGAGGAAGCCCCATCAGAAAGGGATGAACTAACCAGGAAATCACAAATAACAGCTGACACAAAGTCCCCAGCTGTGCAGGCCCGGTCCTGTATAACTCCTTTACACATAGGCACTGCAGTGATCTCCAGTTAACAAACAAGGAACCTGAGGTTGAGAGAGGAGACTTGCCCAAGGAAATACATCTGGAAAGTGGCAGGGCTGAGGTTTGTCACACACCCCTGATGACCATCTGACAACTTGATGGGAACCCCAGATCTAAACCTCCCGAACCCCAGATCTCAATGAGAAGACACAAAGTTGGTGTCATTTAACTGTGGAATCAGAGGAGCGAGAACCCTCCAGGCACTTTTGAGTACTATCCAGTCCCCAGGGAGGTGAGCTTCCTGGGGCTTCCAGGTGATGATTCTGGCCCCGGGGGGGGGGGGAACAACACAGACCCTTGGGGAGCAGTCTTGCTTCCTTCGGCTGCTCACCTCACCTGGGCACTCCTGAGGTCAGCCCCGCATCAAACATTTGCAGGGCCTGAGCAAGAGGGTGAAGAGAGGCCCACACATCACACGTCTGAATAGTTAGAAGCTATAAATTAAGGTAACAAACTACAAAAAAGATATGTTCTATCTTATTATCTTGGCCTGGAAGGCCAAGTTCAAATTTAGAAATTGAAGGAACTCTTCCTTACAACCTGGCACTGTGGGAGAGCTGGCCCCCAGCCCTGGCCCCTGGCATGGCCCCCTTCCTCTCCACTTGCATCTCAGCCCCACACACCAAAGGCCTCATGGACATGTGTGTGGACCCTCACAGCCCGCACAACCCAGCTCTGTCCACGTGCCCTGCCAACAACTGCACCTTGGCCCCCCTCAGGCTGGGCAGAATCATTTTGGGGGGCTCACTCTTGCCCTGGTCATGGCCCCTGCCCAGCTATCTCTGCCTCCTGAATCCGTTTGCTGCTGCAGCTAATCATCGGGGCCGGAATGGGAGAGGGCTCAGGACACACAGCTCCTCGGGCCACCTGCATCACTATGCCACTTGACCACCTGGGGCCTGTAGTCCCTGCTCTCAGCCTAGCACCAGGCCTGGCAGAGGGGGCGGGGAGGCAGCCCCTCCGACAGCAAATGAAGCAGCAGGCGAGGTAATGAAGTATTGAGCTATTGCTCCAGGCTGCAAATGGGAAGGAGAAAGGGGGGAGGGAGCGGAGAGTGAATCTTATACTTTGGGAAGAGAAGCTGGTCACCTCGATCATGAGATGATATCTGCTTCCCACCTCACCTGAAATTCGCCTACTAAATCTTATTGTCTTTGGAATTTAGAGATACTGTGTTGGGGATGATATCAGCGGCAATCCTACGGGTCAGTGACTGTCAAAGTGCCAACAGGACTGGCAGCATCAGCTTCACCTGTTGCTAGACAAGCGGGTTCTCAGGCCCCTCTCTGACCTATGGAATCAGAGACTCTGGAGGGGTCCCAGGACTCTGTGTCTAACAAACCCTCCTACTGATTTTGATGCTCACTGAAGTCAAGAACCACTGATGTGGGCGATGCAAAGTCATTGATTGTTTCAGGGCAGAGTAGCTGTTCTATGAGAACCATGTTCATCAATATGTATTCACTCAACAAACATTACTGAGAGCCAAACACTGTTTTAGGTGCTGGGGATTCAAGATACAGCCTCTGCCCTTAAATTGCTCACAGTCAGCTCAGCAGCAGGCAAGTAAACAGATGGCTAGGATGTGACAAATGCTCACATCCTGAAAGGACAGGTGGAGGGCGCTGTGTGGAAGGGGAGTGTCAGATAAGATTTCCTAGAGGCAACTCTGCCTTCACGGGAACTTGGAGAGGCAGGTATTACCAGATGCAGAGTGGAGCACAGCAGTGTGTTCCTGGTGACCAAGGCTCTGTCCTTGATCAAAGTTTAGTCAGGGTCCTCTGAGCCCTCTTCTCCACTAGGCCTTGACCTTGGCCCCCGTTCTGTCTGTGGTCCACCCAGCGCAGTCTTAGCAAAGAATCCTGCTAAGCCATCCCCTCGCCCTTAGATCTGATCAAATGCCTCATCCCGCCCCCATGATGTCTAAGCCTTCAACATGCCTTTAGCAAGAATCCTGATAGGCCAGTTTAGCAAGAATCCCTTACCCTTGAAGCTCCTCTTAATAACTATCTACCATTGACTCCCTCACTCTGCTCATTGGCTATAAATCCCCAGCTGTCTCTGTTGTACTGTGAGCTGAGCCCTATCTCTCTCCCCTATTACAACACCCTTATTGTAATAGTCCTGAATGAAGTCTTCTTTAACCGTTTAACAAGTGTCAGAGTAAATTTTTCTCCAACACTAGACAAGGGAGCAGTTGTGCAGAGAGGCCCAGAGGAAGGAAAGAACATGTCCCATCCAGTTCAGGCCCTTAGTGTGGCTCACATGTCAGAGCAGAGCATGAGTGAGGATCAACCAAGGAGGTGGACCTGGAGAAGTCAACCAGGGCTCGTGAGGCTCTCCAGGAGTCGGGGTTTGTCCTGAAGGCAATGGGGTGTAGGCGGAAGTTTTAAGCAGAAGAGTGTCATGATTAGGCATGTGTTTTAGAAAGATCTCTCTGGCAGACTGCCTCATAGTGAGTGGATTGGGGGGCCCAGGTCTGGAGCCTCAAAAGACCAGGGAAGAGATTGCCCAGGGGAGAAGTGCTGAACAGTGGTGGTAGACAGTACAGGAGTAGGGCAGGTGGCTAGAGGGAAGGAGACATCTTTGAGGTCAATTTAGAGAGGGGGCCTTGCATCAGAATCACACGAGAGAATTTTTAAACATACTTTTGCCCAGGTCCCCATCAGAACTCCTGAATCAGAAATTCGAGCATCTGTGTGTTTAAAAGGCCTCTCTGGTCATTCAGTTGTGGCCAAAGCTAAGAATCACTGAGATAAGAAGTGAAGAGATAGGGCTTGGTGACAGATTGACAGGGGAGGGCCGGAATGATGGAGAGGAAGGAGTGTGTGTGTGTGTGTGTGTGTGTGTGTGTGTGTGTGTGTGTTGGTGGGAGGTGTCCCTCAGGAGTCAGTGAGTCCTCAGAGATGCCAGCCACTGGGCTTTCAGAATGCGAACCACAAAGCTGGCTGGACAGTCGGGGTCTGAAAGCCTCATCTTCTTCTTTCTAGGTGCAAAGCAGAGCTGCGTATCAAGGAGAATATATATCACATAAGTGAACCTTTTGATTAAAGGGGTTGAATCAACTCTCACTCATTTGCTTCATTCATTCAGGAAGTGCTTAGTGAGCACCTACTATGTGCTGGGCACTGTGCTAGGTGCTGGGGCACAGTGGTGAGCAAAACTGGAGATGGTCCCAATCTCGTGGGTGAGGCCAACTTTACACAAAGTCACGATGCTGCAACTGCGCTAAGTGCCATGAAGGGGAAATACTTTGAAAACTTGTAATAGGGGATGTGACTCAGACTGGAAGGTCTGGAAGTCTTCCCTAAGACAGTAGCACCTGACCAGAGGTGCAAAGTGGGAATTAGCTAGGCTACAGGCAGAAGGGCAGCATGCACAAGGCCCTGGACAGGTGGCCTTTATCTTCCCCTACAGGGCTCTTCATAGGTATGTGAGCCCAGATTCTCCAGTCTGTGGGAGAGGCCTCCCCAGGTAGCAGCCCCTGAGACCCCTTTCTTGGAAAGTCCACTTTGGAATTGGTCCTAGCAGAATACCCCAAGTTTCCCGTGTTGGGGAGATGGCCTCCCACAGGCTGGCAGGACAGGCCCAGGTGTGTGAGCCCAGACAACTTTGCTAAGGGGTCATCCACCACTATCTCCGCAGCAGGAAGTGCTTCCTGACAGCTGCTCTGGTGTGATTCTCCTTCAGTTTCCATTTTATAGCTCCTTGCTCCCTCCTCAGTGGGAGGCTGTGACTTCAAAGAAGTCTGGCTGACACTGCAGGCTGCAATTACGGGGCCTGGGCCTGCCTGAGATTCCCTGGTCATCTCCCACCTTTGGGTTGATGTATCTCTGCATTTATTCTATTGCACAGATACTTATCAGTCACCTGCTGGGTTTCCATCACAAAGCTGGGTGCTACTGTGCATGGGGACGGACATGAAGAAAATTCAGGATGGCCTTTCATCACTCAGCCTGTGGGTGACTCCACATAACCAATCAACAGATGTTTGAAGAGTAGAAACAAGGACTTGAGATTTGTGAGTATGATTTAAAGTCCCAGAGGTACCCTCAGCGTGATTACTATAGAAAACTGGACTTTGACTGAACTTTTCTGGCTTGAGTATCTCCATTCCTGCAACATTCAAAGACCTCCCCCTTCCCACCCCATTTTCATCCTCAGTCTCTACCCTAGACTTTCTCATTAAATAAGGTAGTAAATTTCTTTCATTTCTTTTCTCTTCCCCTATTTATTTGTTTATTGCCCTAATCTCTCTTGAGCTCTTTTTGGTTTTGTTTTGTTTTTACTTTTTTAGAAAGAACCTAGAACATTATCTTCAAGAAATTATTTCTGTGTCCCTTCTTTTTCCTAACAAACTCCTACACATCCTTCAGGATCCACCCAAACATCACCTTCCCTGTGACCTCTTCCATGTGTCCCTCAACAGAATTAGAAGTTACCTCCTCTGGGTTCTTATGGCAACCTGTACACTCCTCCAATAAAACACTTAACCGTGTTATATAAAGTTTTTGCATACTTATCTGTTCAGGTCCCTCTGTTTAAACACTTGTCCATCTTTGAACCCCTAGTGCCTGGATCAAGGGCTGATGCATTGTTTGTGTTCAATGAATGAGGGAATGAATGAATATATAACCTGCATCCTTCTCGGGTGGCATCAGCCCTTTGGTTTCTCAGAAGAAATAGAAACCAATTTGTCACTCTACGTGGGTTGGTCAGTTTAATCAACTATGGGGGGGG